GTCACTCAAAACCAGTGCTCGCTCCAGAGGAAACCGATGGAGATGGCGACCAGCAAAACTGGGAGCCAAAATGTTCGGCCATTTGCTCCAACCGTCCTTGAAGACTGGTTATTACCGAGCCATCCTCTTCGCATATTGTTTCGTTTACATCAGTTCGGAAACCTTCAATGTAGATAGAAGTTTTCTGATGTTACCCGGGGAGCTAGCAAGTTCCATCTCTCTAGCACGTTCACATCAACAGCTTTCACGTTATTTTTTTTACAATAATGCACAATTCTCTACCTAGGGACCGACGTTCATCAGTGCATCGTCAGGGACCGAGCTGTGTCTGTCCATCAGCGACAAGGAAACAGCGGCACTTGACAGCCAACTCCACAATTGTCAAATTTGGCAGAAAGTAAAATATTTTCGTTGAACACCCACTGTGCATTCAGATCGGCATCATAAGCTGTGGCAAGTAGTGTTGAAAGTTAGGTTTGGTACTTGGATAACGTCGTACGATACTGCAAATTTTCGACTTTCGTTTGGTAGTGCGTTCTCCTGGGTGATCCTCAGATACGCACGCAAATCTTAGTACAAAACAATGCGTGATTAGTGTCCAGACCGATTGATCAGTATGTTCGGCAGTCCGTCACGCTTCCACACCATCTGCAAACTTATTGCTGTGGTCAAGATAAGACCACTCTTGTGTCTGGTAAGGTGGGCACCACGTAGCAGTCTGTCTCTTCGATTACCGAACACTGGTGCCGTTGAGGCCAAAACTGCCACCAGATTGGTGCTCACTTGATGGCAGGCGACCCACTCATGCGTTAAAATCTCCGACAAGAATTATAGCATCAGACTTATTGGAGGAACGCAAAATGTAGTTGTTGGTAAAAGCAATCCTTGACTGTATCCGCCTACAGTTTGTGGGAGCGTAGGCGGAGATGATACATAAGGTACATCTAACATCTCAACGCTTGCTTAGCTTACATGAACCTCGTATTCTGATTGCAGTGGTTGATTGTTGACTGGGATCCCTTCAGGCAAAGCGGACCCAGCGCTGTCACTCAGAGCAACACTCACACCAGCCTGGTCAGAACCGGCCGTACCTGGGTTCCCGGAAAGGCGCAAGTGGTAGTTGACGTCAGAGTTTACTGATGACTGTACTGAATTCTTGCAATCTAGTTTCCGAGAGGCAACAGATGTCTATAAGAGCTTTTCAGAGCTACGGTCAGGCAAGCTTGCCGTCCGATTGGTATCCGAGTGTAAACATTGAGCGCTACGAAGCTGGATGAAGAACCAGGTTGGAGAAAAGCTGGTGCCTCATTGGAGTCTGAGAAGGCTGTGATGGCCGGGTGCAAAACACCAACAACTTGACTCCTACTTCCATCAATTGCTAACAGTGAGCTGTTGTTGGCGTCGACTGGAGAGGATATAAATGCCGTTGAGGAACGGTACGTAGGGCGATCTGTGAGTGGTGGTTGAGCCATGGATTTCGGCTGGCCAAAAGACAACAAGCTTGAGAGCAGTAGCATAATCCATCCATGATTCATCAACGGACATGATACTATCCAGTTGTCCAGGCCTCAGTATAGGCTTGTCTTAGGTGGCTTCGCCCCGAAAGGTTGTTCAAGAATTTAACGTACAAGGCAACAGGGTTATTTGAGAGTACCGCAACTCGTTGGGAGCCGGTGACTAAACAAGTGGTTCATACGCCTTTATATTCACAAAGGCTCACGGGTCCAACACACCCCTGAATCGCATTGCCAGTCAGAGCGAGACAAGGAGTAATCACTTTGCTTTGTGGAGTTTCACATTTGCAAAGTCTAAGTGTTGTTAAACGGATATATGTAGCATTTGCTAAAGAGAACACTTATTAGGCGAAAACCCGTCACATCCAGGAACACTGCCGCCGACCATTCGCTGGAACGGAATAATCTCGAACCACCCAGATGACACCAAGAGGAGGTTGTTCGCCAAACCAGGTAGGTTGTTCGGCAAGTCGATACTTGCTTCCTAAAACGTTAATAGGAGCATACCCGAGCGTCATGGCTGCTATAATTGTTCTCAATGCAAGTTGAAGGTAGTTTCACTATTGTCGTGGCAGCCAGACAACTATAGCGATCTGTTTTATAGTAATCGTTTCCCATTTGGCTTTCTGAGCTACATGGAGAAGCAGTAAATTGAATATATCCTGTTAAACAGGGCTGTGAACTGTGGGGGACAATTCACATACTAGCAGTAAGCGATTACACGTTTGAGACATATCAACCGCCAGAACAAATTTGTAAAGATGGCTGGACCCAAAGTAGATTGTGCACATTTATAATGAACTCAATGGAACTAAGCGATCAAGGAGGATAGCGTCGTGCGCCACTTATGGGAGAAACGCATGACTGGACATTGGAGAGCACAAAACCAATAAATTCCAACCTTACGTTATTGATAAGAAGAGCAATCGTTTTTGACTGATTAATGCACAACTGATTCCGCCAACCGTTTACCTCTTGAATTAAAGACAGGTCACCTGTGAGCACTTGCGACGTTGACGCTGTGACGAACTGCTATCAATAGAACAATGGAACAATGGATTTATGCGGGTATAAAAGCTAAAGCTTAACAAATCCCGTAGGGTGATCAGTGCGAAAATCATAGAAGTGTGAAAAATTTAATGGAAACCAATTCAGTAAAATCGTTTAACAACGAGTCACTACAAGCTTGTGGACTCACCGAGTTTGAAGTGTCAAAATAATAATCCACTATAACTCCGGAGGGGATCATGAGGTATGGAGTATTTGGTTAAAAGGGTCACCGCCCCTTGAAATTCGCATGGGGCAAAGTGTTTGAGTTTGAAGCGTCAAAATATAAATCCACTGTTGAAATTTGCGTGGGGGAAAATTATTTTTAAAGTATGGATTTTGGATCTCTCAAAATTAGACTGTACTATGGGAGATAGTGCAATGAAGTGAGTGCACTATCAACTCGATTTTTGAACTCGATCAGGTTTGGTGCACTGACTACAGATTTTGGGAGAGCATTCCAGGCTTGGCAAACACGCACGGAAAAGAAATTCCGTCGACATTCCAAACGGCTTTACTGCACTGCTAGCTTCAGATGATGGGCTCTCAGATTGTTGTTGTTACTGAGCTCCAGCAGATGGCGGCAGGTAGGATTGGGGTCTGTCAGAATCTGATAAGCCAAAATCAAACCACCCCGTAGTCGTCGATATTGACCACTAAATATCCCGAGCAATCTCAGTCTGTCTTCGTAGCGTAACTGGCGCAACTACCCTATAATAGTGTAATATGAACGCAACAAATATCGACATTTGTAGCGCTCGCCTGTTACGGCACTGAAGCAACATGAGAAATAGAAACAAACAAATAAAAAATTGTTTGTGGATTTGTATAGATTTTATCAGCTGTTTTGTTATTATTGCAGCTACCAGCACTTATTGAATGAGGAAGCTTATCATAGAACATAGGACGTTCTCTTCACCCAAAAACCGCGTTACTAGTAACCGACTACATTATGGTAAATATTTTCCTGGTCCGCGTTAGGTAAAGACAACAACCTACTGGTCCTTCATTCGACCTTGTTATCAAGTTGTAGAAGCTGTAACTGCTTGTCAAACAGAGAAGTCAAAGAATAAATGATTTGTACTCAAGCAATGAACTACTAGATCATATGGTTCAAGTGCATTGTTCTAAATTACGCCATGAAATCATGGTAAACAAGCGGAGAACCGGATTGCTGCTTCTGTTATGGTCAGCCTGAGCTCAACGAAATTCACAACATCTTTGTAACGTTCATTTAAGTAGCTTGTTCCGGGTTCACATGCACATTTGAAACTTTATAGTCCCAGAAGCTTCGTGAGCCATCAAATTTCACTCAGCATGTGTACACAGTTCAAGTGCAAACCTTCAGCTAGCTTCTAGCGCAAGAAATACTGAATCCATTTACTCGCCACTGCACAGGTTGGCTTCCAGTCGGTCGTACTGTGCACATGTTATCTTGATCGAACGGTTCGAATATGGTTACTGTGCGAAAGTGAACTGAATGTTACCTACTGTCGATCAGATTCTCTTGAATTTTTTCTCATAAATCGCCTGCAGTCTGTTCTGTCATTCACAAGGGGAAATTCCGCAGCAGCCACTACTGACCTGGAGAAACATTAACGACGCTTAGGCCACGTCAGTTATCTCAAAATCAACTTAAGTTATTTGCATTCAACGGAAGATAATAATCTAGTGAGGCAGGTTTAATGTCTCGAGAGCAAGAAAAACATCGGCCCAGTGGCCTTTCTTACTCCATAAATCGAACATGCAACTGAGTATTGAAAGACGGGGTCGTTTCAACATAGGCTTTAGCTACACAATCCGAGTGTACCGCAACGCCGGACTTTGCCTATGTGTAGATAAGGTAATAATTTAGGTTTGGCCACTGATCGCTGCATGATCCATGTTTCCGGCTACCCGTTTGCCTGAGAATGTTTTTTTCGACTAGCTCAGGCCCCTAGTTTATGCTGCGAATCTGATCATCTGAACAGCCTTTTTAAAAGCCTTTCTGGATCTCACACGGAGGTTTCCAGAGGTGCTTATGGTTGCTACAGAATTGATACTTGTCTCCACCACTAATGGAATTCATTCTCGGATCAAACATCTCTCGTTGCCATACGTGTGGACTCAAAAGCAGTTTGTCATGTTCCCGTTCATGTTAAGGACATCTGGCTTGGTCATAATCAGGGTTGGGGCATAAGGCTGACAGGCGAAATTCGGATAGAAGTTGTCACCAGAACCTCAAGTAATAAAAAGCTGTCAGCTTACTCTTAGTGTAGGGATCTACCAATTCGTTTGAACAATTGTTCTGGAAACACATGAACCGAAAGTTTAACTTGTTCTATGTGAGCTCAACAGAGCGCTTTACTCACATTTTGGTATATTTCTGTCACAGTATTGCATACCTCATGAGCGCGCCGGTTTTTGAAGTCTCCTTGTTGACTCTTTTATTTTCATCAGTGCGAAACTGATTCAAATCCACCGGCGACGGTCACTTGGTTCGAAAATTTACCCAACAACACAATTCAGTACTTGGGACAGGGTGAGAAGTTTCGTCTCACTGTGAGCACGCATGTCAACCCGCCTCCCAGACTGGTAGAGATTTTGGCGTCACAACATATGCCTTTCTCGGAATTGGATCTCTCAGACCAATTTAAACAGCACGATCGTAAAACATGGGAAACTGCCATCTTGCGAAAACTCCGAAACTTCACTTGTGAATCACAAGTACCGGGTTTCAACAAGCAAACAGCCACTAAGCTCGTTGGAACAGCAGGTAAGCTAGTAGCAGTTACACTTCTTATGCTGATTATCATACTAATACATTAAGACAATGGAGTGATGTAAATTAACCTCAGTCGCTTCATGCTTCAATCATCTTATGGTTTACCTTATCCGCTACATGTTGCAGTGAAGCTAGTTCAGTTATTTTGGATTCCGGGTTGGAGTTTTCCTCTCTACGAAACAGTTGAGGTTATCAGAATTAAACGCCATAGGCTTCATGTCATTTACCTAAAGACAGCGGGTGGCGCTGATATATGTTCTGCTATCAATACAGGTCTAGCATAATGATAATCTCAAGCATGGACGCAGGTAATTGCGACAATGACGCACTATAGCAAAAGCAGTATCCGGCCTAAATGTTAGAGTAGGTTGGTGCTTGAAGTTGCCAACATATAGCTACGTTTTTTCTAAAACCTGGAGATATTTCAGATTTCCGCACTAGTCCAAAACAGAATTTCAGGCGCAACGGCCAGGCACGGACATAAGCACAGTGCTGTGCGAGAAGATAGGTGGACCTCTATTCAGCATTGAACGGCAAGACTCAATCGGAGAAACCAAGTACATTTCAGTTGGGCGGAAAGAGGCACAGAACCTATATTTTGCGTGCACCTCACTGTTTTGACACACCAGGGGAACACTTGCCTTTAGTAAAGGTACATAGAATGACGAGACAAACTGATGTATGGTGGTGTCGCGACCTGATCCACACACCGAGTGACCAGAAGTATCGGATCCGTGGAAACTGGTCATGCGTTCATAAATTTTACTGTTTCGTATTGCACCTCTTCTAATCACTGTTCTCTTAAACATCTTGTAGTCTCGACAGATGCGTTCAACCTCGTACATACAGTGTAAGAGAACGATATTTGTATTCACACTCTACAGAATAGTATTACAATCAAGCTTCTTGGGGTCTGCAACATTCAGCAAGGCGTCGCACATCTTTTGTCACGTACGCGAATGACTTCGATCCGTTTACTGCGGCTGTGTGCGGATTGGTTCCCATTCATACCAGCCAGCCTCTCATCTGACATCCGCACCCGGTCTCGTAACGCGGGTTCCATGAGTCCGGTACCTTACTTACTTACTTAATAAACCTGCTACTATTCAGATGTCTTCTGCTTGATATGATTACATGTCTCGGAAGCATGCGTTACATGCTTAGTGGTACTACTTTTTCGTGGCGAGCAAAACGACGAACCCAATTTTGAATAGACCTATCACTTGGTCATTTGCTGAGGAGAAGTCGACCTTGTCGAACTGGATAGGATGGAGGAAATCATTTACTAACTGCGTGGAATTACTTCCTATACTGAATCCGACAGTTTACTTTTCTGCGTCTCACAAAATCAGGGGGTTCAGGCAAGTGATTGGCGGTTAAGGTCAACAGCACTATGACGCCCTGAGGATGGAAAACTATGCCACCTTCAGTTCTGCTTTCGGTACTAGTATCGTGTTATGGGGGCTGAAACAAAATGTTCACGCCGCTAGATACTGCTTCACAAAACATGTGCAGAAGCCAAACGAGTATAAACGACTTTATTACACATATTCATCTATCTGTTCCTTAGTGTAAGTATAACGAGATTCCACCTTGGAAAATTGAAGAGCAGATGAAAATTTAATGTTTAATTTCGGGAATATCGGACGAAAGTGCTAGAGAGAAGTTGTTATGCTTGGATGGATCGGCCGCCGCGTGGGAAAGCGTTTGGCTCATTGTTCGCCCACGAGAGCTTATTATACACCAATTACGCGAGTTCATTGCTCGTCCGGTAGTTGATGATGTGCACGCGGTCCGTAAACCAGACACGAGTGAACATCGCAAACATTTTGTGTGTCATTGTTGCGGCTTGCAGCACTCGCAAGCTTCCGATTGCCAGCACAAAGAAAGTATCTGTCGGAAATGCGGCATGATTGGTCATCTAGCTCGCGTGTGTAGAGCGGAAAGTTCCCGCCCCACGAACATCGCCTCAGTGGCACGTCAAAGCAAGCTAGAGCTAGGTGATAAGATCTTAGAAAATTTGAGCAGTGAATTTAACAGTGTAGTTGGACAGTGCGACACTCAAAAACTGTCCTCCTTACCCCATACGCTTGACGATAGAGGATGAACCGATAGACATGGAGGCGGCTGTTACCACTGTAAACCGTGGTTCAATGAAAAAGCTGCCACTTTTACAACCGTGCAACTCGAGATAACAGACATACCCCGGTGATCTAATTCAGGTGTTGGGTAGATGTTTCGTCAAAGCCATGCACGGGGAGCGAGAATTAACCCAACCCTTAATCGTTGTACCTGCGAACAAACCGTATCTCATGGGTCGAGACTGGATACAGTACTTTCCCGAGACCTTGCAATTCAACAAACTCACGCACGTGCACGCGCTGTACGACCTTACTTTAACTCGGCTTTCGCTTTGCCCTCTGTGACCACCCTAGTTCTCCCCACACAATATTGTGCGTGCGCTCGTTCGAACCAGTTCAACGAGTTCTACTCAGTGGTTTCTAACTTTTGATTCTAACCTATGTGGATTATACTGTTGTTCCAGTTCTAAGTTTTTGGTATATTCATTGTCGATTTCTACGTATGTAACTACATCAAACCGGCTTTTCGGGAAATATTTTGGTCTCATTCGGAAGAAGAAGCTGTGGACTCTTAAGCTACTCGGCGACCATCTCTGCAAGTTGTAGCATAACAAAGGTACAGTCATTTTGCTTGCCTCATCAAGTGGACAGCTCTAGGGACGCTTACCATCCCCTAACTTGCATCGTCGCTTTAGGCAGACCGATTAACACACGCTGCCGCCCTGTGTGGGTGGGTTTGTTCAACTGCTAGTCGTTCGATCCTTGAACCCGACAGTCTTCGCGTTACGATCTCCATCTGTCTCGACCGACTGAGTTGGTGCAGTTGAACAGCTCTCAGTTCATGTGCGGGTTTTGATGTGTTTGTGCATCACGCCTGGCGCATAGAACACTCATCAAGTTGAGCGCTCAAATAGACCCCGCTGCAAACGATAAAAGGACGACTACCGTTCCAATGGTTCAACTTCGCCTACGTTGCGCAGACACTTGCAGTAAAGTCCCTAAGGTCGGAATAAGCTGTTCTAGCTGCCGTAGATCATACTGTCCGCAACGGGTAGGCATTTCCGTCCAAGAAATGAGACATACAAAGTTGCCGACACCATTTCGTTTTGTTCAACATGTCAAATCATCCAAGTTGTCAGCTGTTTATCTTTGCTCAAGAAAAAGTGCGATAGAATGATTGAGACAATCGCGCATTTGATAAACTCTAAGATCGAACCCACGAAGATAAATATGGCTACGCTAATACCTCAACCAGCTAAAGTAAGCGCTGACTATAAGCTGAAATACAGAGATAGACGCTCCAATCGCACTGCAGCGTCTATTTCCCTAAATTCACTGGGTCACCTCGCTCTCAGAAGCGGACAAGCCTCAAACATGCCTGCTTCCACTCCTCCAATCATGGACGCTTCACCTGATGATCCTGCAATGACCGACCGCTCAGAGCTTGAGGCAAGTCGGTGCATATAACAAGCAGGTAATGTATGCACCAATTGTCTCAACAAACACACCAGGAGCTACGCAGGTAGCTCCATCTTCTGTACACAGCACATGTGGGGCGACGCAGCTTACACCGTCAACACCATTGGTGCCTTCTAAACTGTCCAAATTACAAACAACAACTTTAAACTCGATATTCGCTAAACAAAACCACGCTGCTACAACTCTCATGTGCACCAATGATCCCGAGTGCAAATCTGACACAATAAAAGGCAAATTCCTGGACGATCGCAACCAGTGGAGTTCCAACTGCGATGCGATCGGTATTCGGGTTGAGCATGCAATCCTGTAATCGCGTAGCTCGTCGCCCGACCTCAGTGCACTAGGGTGAACCTCGAATTCTTCGCGTAACACTAAACTCAACAGATGAGACCGAGCCTGTCCTGCTCTCAGCAGTTTGTCTTCGCAACTCACCGAGCGGAGTGCACATATTGCTCCATCTCCCTTAGAAAGATCGCCCAAGAGAAGCGAATGACCAACGCGGCATTCCTAATTGTGATACCAAAAAAACCACCTTTGTTCTTTGTGTTCCCGAGATCCTGGATTCTCCTAACCACGATACGCAAACACACGGCCGAGATCAGTGATGCTACATCCGCGAAGCACTCTCTGTTAGGAATGTTATTGCCAAATCCTTGACAAGAATTTCGTCATCACCTTACTAGAAGGGCTGCGGCCCAAGACTAATGAAAGTAGTATTATATTCCGAGGGAATGACGCGAGTTCTATTAAATAACTGGTCATAATTGTGAGCCAGGTTTCCAACAGGCAGCAGGCGAATGGCCAAGAGTCGTAAGCAATTCGACGGATCTTGCAAACGCTGTAAATTCTTTATCTGCACAGTCCTGCGGAGAGACCGACACAAAAGCACAGACCTCACACAACAGGACAGAGCGCAGCATGAGTGAAACATGAGTTCAGGAATGCTCAACAATACCATGCAACTTGACTGAAATTCATAAACCACCTAACGGTCAGCTTAAAAGCATCTACAAAGTTGACAACCATCAAAGCACTTCAAACCAAAAACGCTATCTTGTACGTACACAAACGCCCAAGCCCTTCTAAGTACGTTGGCCGAACTTAGAGAACTTCATGACGCACAACTACGGGACCTCGTCATCATTACAGAGACCTGGTTAAACCTTGAAATAACTGATTCTGAGATCAATTTATCCGGTAGGTTAAGGATAAGGGCTTTCTCAACCTAATGACCCCCAGGTGTTGCCTGGGAAACATTTACAAGGACGTTTAGCGCACTGGTAACGCACGCATCGGAACAGAAGTCTTTCCAACCTAAAAACAAATAAACCTCATTTCTGAGGAGCAGAACACGTAAATATATGTCCCTGAGGGATTTGGAATGGTGAGCTCACAAGGACTGCCCGAATTCCGAAACCTGGACGGCATTCG